AAAGGTTTTGGGTTTCCCAAGTTTGGTGTCTTTGGATTTGAATCTTACTTCTTTGGGAGTCTTTTGTGGTTTAAGGGCTCTAGGCGTTTCAGGCTGTTGGATTGGCAGGTTTTGTTCGCTTGAGGCTGTTGAGGGTTTCGTTTTCGGGCTTGGGTTCGGACTTGAATGCCATGTCCGTATGTCATATATGTCATACATATCCTGTATGAGTGGGGGGTTCAGAACGTGATTCATAGCTCTAAGCCACCGAAAGTGCTGAATCTGCATAGAGGCCGCGCAACCTCAGAGAATCCCAACTCGAAAGTCCGCAGGTGAGGTTTGGGGCTTGACGGCTTTTATGGGCCTCGGACAAAGTCCAAAATAAACTTGTAAATAACCCTTGCTGTAGAGCAACCGTCAGAACACCCCTTATAGTAACCTTAACACGACTTCGTAGTAACCCTTATCATACTGACCCTTATAGTAGCTCTTGCAGTAGCCAATTCTAGTAATAACGGTTTTGGTTACCCTTTAAGGATGCCTCAAGAGCTAGAAAAGCGGCTCCCAAAATAGGGTTTCGGGTTTAGGGCCCGCCAGGTGCCAGATAGCCCGCTGCCAGCGCGGCGGGGCGCTCGTGGAGAAGGTCCTCGCTCCATGCCAAAACCTGACTCCCAAACTCTGTGAACCCAAATTTCCAAGTTAGTTCAAACTCTAGAAGACTTAAACCCCAAATCCCCAAGGGTCCGCCTATAAGGGTGCCTCCGCAAGGGTTCTAAAAGGGTTCTACATGGGGTCTATGTGAAGCCCCTGGCTGGTGTAGAGTTCAGCGCAGGGGTGTAGGCTTCGGCTTTAATGTTTCTTGGCATAAAGTTTAGAATTACTTGGAGGGTCATGGGACTCAGTAAGTAGGGTTATAAGTACCTTAATTGGGGTTATATGCAATTTTAACTGTAGTTACCTTACTTATAACCCCAATTACTAAGTCCCGTGATCCTTTAAGTAGACCCTCTCCCCTAGACCCTTATAGTACCCCTATAGATCCCTTAAAGGGACCCCTTAAGGACCCCAATTACTAAGTCCCATGATCCTTTAGGTAGACCAGAGCTTTCAGCTCAGAGGGCCAACGGCTTCCAAAACCTTTGAGACCATGGGCCGAAGACGATGGGGTCAAGCGTTTAGGGTTTAGGGTCTAGGTTAGGGTTGAGGGTGTGGGGTTTAGGGTTTAGGGTTTAGGGTTGATTTAGGGTTTAGGGTACACCCTAACCCTGTTCGTCTAAATTGGAAGGCGACCCTGAGACTCCGACCTGCCCAACCCTAAAAAGACCCTCAAACCCTGAACCCAGAGACTCCAATATCCCTTAATGAAGGAATATACCTTAAATTATAGTAGGATCCCTAATCTGATTTAAGGAATATTTTTTTTAATTAAGGGATATTGGAGTCTCTGGGAACAGACCTCCATGAAGCTGGCAGGCACTACCCAAAGCTCCGTAAACAAAAAAAGTCCTAACGTCCGTGAGCCCAAACCCTAAAAACTTCAGTCCTAAACCCTACGCCCTAACCTTTACCGTTGCCTGAGGGGTGCAAAGGGCCAGCGGGAGGTACTCTCGACAAGCACAACCCAAACCTGCTCAGTGATGTTTGCTGTTCGCCTACTACAGGGGCCTTTATCATTACCTATACTATTTTGGTGGTTCTTTATTATATTGCTAGTATAATATACCCCAAAACCGTATTCTAATTTGTTATTAAGGCCCCTACAGTAAGGGTTGATTTGGGCACGAGCCTTTTACCATAGTTGCTTCCATGAGGCGAGCGCAGGACCTGCGCTGTGGAGAAACTGCATCGTAACTACAAGCCGTAAACCGAAATCTGTTCGCCATGCCAGGAGGCTCTCTGCGCAGCTTTGGAGTTACCCCAATTTTAACACCACTTATAACCCTACTTACTAAGTCCCCTGCCCCTCCAAGTAAGCCCTAAAAACCCTCGGAGGGGGCACGACTTGAGCTGGAGTCCTGTGAGCTCCGTGAGAACGGCCGTGGCCTCGTCGTGGCGGGTGGGAGCCTTCGACTGAACATCGGGTCTCTTGGGGCTTAGGGTTTTAGGGTTGGGTTTAGGGTTTAGGGTTTCAGCTTATAGAGTTTGGGCCGTTAGAGCTTAAAGTTAAGCATTTGAGGAATTGGGGTGTTGGGTTTTAGGGTTTAGGGCTCAGAGTTTATTTGGGGTTCGTGCGATCCCAAAGGAGCCATGGGGTTTAGAGGAGGGTTCAGGCTTTAGGAACCGCGGCTTAAGCTTCAGAGTTGGGGCTACAAGGCTTCAAAGAGCCCCGAGAAGATGGGCTGCAGAGACCCAAGAGCAACTCATCACTATCAACATCACCATTACCATCACCATCGAAAGCGCCATCGCCATCCCCATCACCAACACCACCACCATCATTATCACCACCACCACCACCACCATCATCATCATCATCATCATCATCATTTGCATCATCAGCAGCATCACCACCGTCGTCAGTAGAACACCATCATAGCTAGCGCTACATCATCGTCATCATCATCATCACCAGCACCATGGCCGTCATCATCCGAACATCTTCATAGCCAGTAGCATCTTCGTCATAATCACCATCATCATCCTTATCAGCAGCAGCATCGTCAACATCGTCATCATCATAGTCGTCATGAGCGGCAGCATCGGCATCATCATCAGCATCATCACCATCGCCGGCATCATCATCATCCTCCTCCTCATCATCATCACTGGCATCATCCTCGTCATCAATATTGTCATCATAATGCCTTCACAGTCAGTATCAATATCACCATGACAGCAACATGGTCATCACCGCCATTGTCGCTTCGATCATCACCATCACCGTCATCAGCATCGCCATTTTCAGAATCGTCGCCGTTCGACATAGAGCAGAGAGAAACGGCAGAGAGCACTACCAGAACAGAGGTGACAACTCCACTATGCTACGAGGAAGGCATGCTCATTGCAGAGCTATTTCGTGAGGCGTCTCTAGCCCCATGCAGAAATATTATTCAGACAAGAACCAATGCCTGTTTGAGATGTAGGTTCCCTTTTCTCAGATAAACGTTGTTTGAGCTCGGGGTCGCACACTTACCAGCGTATGCCTTCCTGCAGGAGTTCTGCAGATGTCCAGCGCAGTTCCTTCGAAGGTGCCGTGTTGTTTTTGTCTTGGGTTTGAGGGTTTTACTTAAAGGATCATGGGACTTAGTGATTGGGGTTATAAGTAAGGTAACTACACTTAGAAATACTTATAACCCAAGTTAAAGTACTTATAATCCTACTAGGGTTTGGGGCCTGCGGTTTAGGGTTGAGGGTTTAGGGCTTGGGGTATAGACCTGATTGCTTTCTGCTTCTGTATGGGGTAGGAGGAGGAAGCGGAGCAAGAGGAGGAGTGGTACTGGTGGTGGTGTTGGTGGTGGTAGCAATGGTGGTCGATCTGGAAGTAAGAACCAAAGCTGCAATAATGGCAACTGTCAGCTTTAAACATGGCAGCTGGTGCGCAGGAGGTGTAGTGATATCGGTAACAAGAACAGTCAGTGTGGCTTATCTTCTGCCAGGACACTCGTTCCTGACAATATAACTTCAGTGGCTTTCACTCGCACGCATTGCTTCGTGAACAGCCTCGGCAACCGCAAGCAAGAAGTGCACGTGCATCTACACCATGACTCAGAACCTAGCGCACTGTACCATGACAGTCCAGATTGTGAGGCAACCTGGCTCGGGTTTGTGCGGCAGTAACAGCAAGGAGATCGTGAAAGTAGCAGACAACAGCCCTGGACGACTTGTGGGTAGGTACTGACATGTGCCACACACATGCCGGAGACTCGACGAGGAACAAGGCTAAAGTCAAAGAAGCAGCACAGCAGGCAGAAGGCAGTCGACCAAGCCGTCGTCTGGAGCAAGAACCAATGCTTGCCCTGCATGGAGCAGGCCGGGGTTAGCGGTGTGGATGCTCAAAAAATTCCTGGCGCGATGGGGTGCCGACTGGAACTTCGCCCAGGCGTGTGACGAGGAGCCGAAATACCTGCCTCATGAAGCAGGCCTCGGCTGACAAGAGACCTACTCATTTGGGTTATTATAATCCTTAAGAAGCAGCTAGGGTTCTAAGTTCAGTATAGGTACTCAGCCTTAAGATTCAAAAACGGAGTGTCAAGGAAACATGCCCTCAACCCCCAGACCCTAAGACATTGCAGAAACCCTAGACCCCAAAGCAGAGAACCCGAAATCCTAAGACCCTTTGGCCTGCAACGTTACAGCCTTCAAAAATCCCAAATACCAGTGACACCCTAACGCTCTCAAACCCATCTAAACGAACCTGAGACTCTAGACCCTTTGAACCTTAACTTGCCCCAGACCGGTTCCGTCACTTTCTGTTGTGCTTGGATCCTGTGGATACCTCTCAACGCAGCACAGGGCCTGCAAATTGTGCTGAACCCAATACCCTTGAAATGGGAGTTTCCGCAAAAAGGGGACCCTAATATAGTACCCTAAACTGTAGGATCCTTATTATAAGGACCCCAAGATAAGGTACCCCCAATTTTCGGAAACTCCCAAACTCCGGACAACTGCGAACATGATGAAGGCATACCCCGCCCAGTAGGATCCAGGCACAAACAGCCGAAGTGCGAGGGGATGTGGCTTTGAACCATAATATAGGGGCCTTAATAATTAGACTAGGGTTCCTCTAAAGGGGTCTATAGGGGCTACTATAATAAGGGATATATATAGTGGTATTATAAGCCAGAAACCCCGAAGTCCTGAACCCCTCAACCCTGAACCCTAAATCATAGGGATCCTTAGGGGTGTAGGGGGGAGGGGTGTAGGGGACTCTATTTCCTTAAATAGGCCTTATTAGTCCTTATTATGGGCCTTAAGGCCCCCCCTACCCCCCCCCTCCCCCTACACCCCTAAGGATCCCTATGACTAAACATTTCCGGATGGCGCCTTGAGGCCACACGGGTTGGGCCATTCGTCTGGAGCCGATGCTTTCTGCTGGTGAAGACGTGGAGATGACGACGATTGCCGACAATGCCGCTTTTCCGGGTTTGGGGCTTCAAGGTGTCGGGGGTTTCGGGGTTTCGGGGGTTCAGGGGGTTTTCAGGGGTTTTAGGGGATTTAGCGGGTTTCGGGTTTAGGGGGACTTTGAGCCAGGTCGCCGAAATCACCCATGACTGTCTCTCTCGGTGGCCTTCGGTCGTCGTCTTGTCGCGAATGTAGCCTTTGGAAAGGGTTCCTGTTGCGACCCTCCTAGAGAAATCGGACCGTCTTCACCCAGAACTAACCCCCTTTTTTTCATCACAACGCAAAATCTTAAATTTACGGTTCGTGCAGCCGCTTAGCGCATTTAGCGTTTTCTGACTTGCTCACGAGCAGCCCCGACGAAACCCTAAACCCCTAAACCCTAAACTCTGAACCCTAAGCTGTATTTCCCAAATCCGAGGACGCCTAAACTTTGAGCCCCCAACCATCGACCTGCACCTGCAGGTCTGAATATTCGGTAATACCATGGCTCAGGGTTCCTCATCAATAATGCTTAGCGTGAAAACTTTACTGCTACCAGTATATGCTACTTACGAAGGCCCTTGTACGTCAAACCCTACAAAAAGCTTATGAGCCCCTGTGTAGCAACCTTATAGTAGAAACCAGGAAGCAACCCCTATTCTACTTATTAAGGCCCCTACATTACATTCTAAACCTCAAACCCCAAACCTCCTACCCTCAACCCAAAGCCTACTAGGAGTCCTTGTAGCATGACCCTGAGAGGAATCCTCTTCTTAACCCTACACCCAAAACCCTAAAACCCCAAAACCCGAAACCCAACAATTCCAAAACCCTAAAATCCCAAAACCCAAAACCCGACAATCCTTAACAAGGCACTACATTGCATCCAAAGCCCCTGGGTGTAGGGTTTAGGGTTTAGGGGTTTAGGGTTTAGGGTTAAAATCCCAAACAGGGCACCTACATTGCATCCAAAGCACTCCCTTTTTTTGACATGAGAGACATGGCTAAGCCATCCCGCGACCTCAACCTGCACAAACCCTCATAAAGCGGCTACAAGAAGCAAAACTATGCACTCTTTGGCCCAGGTCTTCGGGTCGCAGCTCCGCGGCAATGCAGGCCGCAAGCGAATCCGCGTGGATGCCAGGTGCCTCTGTTCGGGGGCTTCGGGTTTAGGGTTTAGGGCTTAGGGTTTACTTTAGGGTGTGGGGTTTTTATGAAAAGAGGAGAGGATTTTGGGTTGGACGCTGTTGGTGTTTAGGGTCTTGGATTAGGGTTTTAGGGTTTTGGGGTTTTGGGCTTTAAAGGGAACTCCAGAAACTTGGAATATGGATTAATGGTAGGATCCCCTATAATGTACCTTAAAGGGGTTACGATCATGATATTCCAACTTTCTGGCTTCTACTGTAGGGCTTTCTGGCTTTGGATTTCAGAGGTTTAGGGTTTAAATTTAGGGGTTCGGCTTCGGGGTTCAAGGGTTTAGGGTTTAGGGTTTAGGGTTTTAGGGTTTAGGGTTTAGGGTTTAGGGTGTGTCCATCGTATTCGCTCGCTCGGGTGTAAATCTCCCCGAGCCGCTCGCTCCAGCACAGCTAAGTGACTCCCACCCTAGACCCACCCAGACACAACTCAATTAGGGTTTAGGGTTTTCTACCCCCCCAAACCCCCCTATCAAGGGGGGCTTTCCCCAGCGCAGGCGGGGGTTTGGCTTTTAGTGGGTGTTTTTCTACGACCAGAATTTATCACCCAAAATATTCACCCAAAATCTAGGTTTTTGGCTCGGCTGTGCTCTGGTGGGGGCGGGGCCTTGGCTGGTCCGTCAACGGTACCAGTGCTCTGGGAGAAGGAACACGAACGGTAGCAGTGCTCTGGTGGGGGCGGGGCCTTGAAATCTGGAAACTTCATAGAGAAGGACGACGAAGCGCCCTTATGCAGAGGGGCCCGGGCACATCACAGCAACGTCTGCGGCGCCCGTGGCTGCCTGCCGGCGCAAGGTGCTGTGACGGGCTTGGGTGGTGCCTTCATAGACAAGCCTCAATTCGAGAGCTTGTCCTTAGTTTCAAGCCCAGAATCCCCTCTCCCAAAGGGCCGCGGCTCGGGTCCCTTCACAGAGAAGGACGACGAAGAGGCTTACGGGAAGACTGTGCCTTTACGGAGCCCCTTAAGGGGAGGGAGGGTCCTTACGGGAAGGGGCCAGTCTTTACGGGGAGGGTCCCTTACGGGGCTGGGTCCCTTCACGGAGAAGGACGACGAAGAGGCTTCGGGAAGACTGTGCCTTTACGCCCCTTACGGGGAGGGGGGGTCCTTACGGGAGGGGCCAGTCCTTACGGGGAGGGTCCCTTACGGGGCTGGGTCCCTTCACAGAGAAGGACGACGAAGAGGCTTACGGGAAGATTGTGCCTTTACGGAGCCCCTTACGGGGAGGGAGGGTCCCTACGGGAAGGGGCCAAACTTTACGGGGAGGGTCCCTTGCGGGGCTGGGTCCCTTCACAGAGAAGGACGGCCTTTGCGAGCGCCTTACGGGGGAGGGAGGGTCTTTGCGGGAAGGGCCAGTCCTTACGGGGAAGGTCCCTTGCGGGGCTGGGTCCCTTCACAGAGAAGGACGACGAAGAGGCTTACGGGAAGACGAGCCCCTTACGGGGAGGGAGGGTCCTTACGGGAAGGGCCAGTCCTTACGGGGAGGGTCCCTTACGGGGTTGGGTCCCTTCACAGAGAAGGACGAGGAAGAGGCTTACGGGAAGACTGTGCCTTTACGGAGCCCGTTACGGGGAGGGAGGGTCCTTACGGGAAGGGCCAGTCCTTACGGGGAGGGTCCCTTACGGGGCTGGGTCCCTTCACAGAGAAGGACGACGAAGAGGCTTACGGGAAGATTGTGCCTTTACGGAGCCCCTTACGGGGAGGGAGGGTCCTTACGGGAAGGGGCCAGTCTTTACGGGGAGGGTCCCTTACGGGGCTGGGTCCCTTCACAGAGAAGGACGACGAAGAGACTTACGGGAAGACTGTGCCTTTACGGAGCCCCTTACGGGAAGGGAGGGTCCTTACGGGAAGGGCCAGTCCTTACCTGGAGCACCCAATGTGCTCCATTTCGACATGGCCCACCCAAGAAACTGGTTAAACCAATAAAAAAACATACGCGGGCAAAAGGCCAACAGAAAACCAGTTTTTGCAGTTTAGTTGTCATGACCCCACAAACTGAGCCTTGCAGAAGCTTGCCAGTAACATCACTAGTGATTCGCAGGCTTAAGACAGGATGCATCCCTGGACTTGCTGTTGGGGCGCCTGGATACTGTAAATATCATGATTCGACGTTTGGATGGAGGATAGCGGACGGATGGGTGTCGGGGTATATATGCTCAAAAGCTCTGGTTCGCACTTTATCCGACCCAGAGCTGAATCGTGCATAGGGCTGAGAATGAGCCGGCTCTGCGGTTGGAGCAGCAGCCATGCTCTGGGGTCCGATGTGTAGTCTGCAGCAAAGGATGAAAATTGAATCCTGGGTACATTAGTTTTGTGGGCAGATTCAGACACCAATTGTATGTGCTAGACCAAAAGGTCACTATTAGATGGGTTGAGTATGTACATATTATGAGCTATATATGCATGTATCCATCTATCTATCATACATACATACATACGTAAAAAACAAATGTAAATATGCATATCTTGTGTGTATATGTACATATGTTTATAAGGGCACACATACATGTATGCGTGCAAACATGCATATCTGTATCTACAGATCTACGCAATTATATGTACATACCTGTATCTATCTGTATACATATGAATGCTCTTATGTATCTATATGTGTCTGTATCTATATATATATATATATGTACCTATATATATCTGTATCTCTACAGATCTATATACCGATGAAACTTTCTGTAGCTATATCTATGTAATATCTATATGTATTCATAGGCCTGTATGTATATATATATATATATATGAAGATGGGCAGCTGTATATCTATGTTTCCATAGATCTATATACGTATGTATCTATAGGTCTGTAGACCTACATATCTATATAACGATATATCCTTACATCATGTATGTGTATACATACATACATACATAGATACATGTTTATACCAACATAGCTGTCTATCCATGTAATTATATATCCGTGTACCCGTATACATATACATATGTGTGTATTCATATACCTTCATACCCACATATTTATTTATCCATGTATCTATATATATATATATACTTATGTCCTTATAACTATACATATATACCGATATACACATGAATCTTCGTATGTTTATATCTATGTATCTGTTTATCTAGATATATAGATACCTAAATGTCTATGTCTACATGTATATTCATACCCATGCTTATATCTCGGTCTATGTCTATATCTATACATATAGCTATATGTGTATGTATGTGTGTATGCATGTGTGTATGTATCTATGTACGTATGTACGTATGAATGCTCGCCGGTATGCGTGTATTATACCGAGATATGTTGATGATCTCAACGTTTCCCAATCGTATATTCCAAGGTTGAAAATCGGCTTTTGGCAGTATTCCAGACCTCTGTTTCAAAACCATTTTTTTTACAAGGACTATGACAACGGGTCCCCGTACTCATGGACATGAGTCCACACTATCTATATAAACATTGCGGTAAACCAAACCGGTTAGGCCGTTTATATGCGATAAATACAAGCCAGAAGACGCAAACAGTGATGGAGCTCCGCGACCACCAAGACCACCGGGACCATCAGGACGACCACTACGACTAGGACCGCCTCATGAGGAGACCACCAGAAAACCACCAGGAAAGCACAGGAAAGGAGACCACCAGGACATCATAGCGACAACCGACACACCGACACGAGACCCCCACCTGCCACGGCCAAACCCGGATGTACTGGCGAGGCTCGCAGGTTCGACAAGCCTGCTTCCCGCCGTGTACTGACGGATTCCACGACAACATGTTTCCCCTCCACGTGCTGGCAGGAGTCATAAGCGCGACCACCATGCTCCCCACATGTAAGGGCGGGATTTAGGATGCACGACAAACATGTTTTGACCCCATATACTGGTGAATCCAGTGACATGTCGGTGCTTCCCCCTATTAACTGGCAGGATTCAGGATCGCGGCGCACTGTCTCACCCCTTAAGAAACTCTCACCCCATTCATGGATGATTCAAGAGCAAGGCTAAGATGTTTCCCCCGAATATTGGCAGGGTCCAGACACGTCGGTGTCAAACACAGGCCAGCGTATGGGAATTTGCAATGAGTCACGGTTCCCGGCGGCCGCACGGATCCTGTGTAACAAGGACAAGAGCACCAACGATGCACCACACGACCGTTCCACTGAACCTCCCGACCAACGCGCCTCGTGCAAACAGTAAATGATGTTTTTTCTTTAGCAGAAGATCCGTGTTTGAAGAATATAGACTCATATGGACACAAGCGAGACCAAAGACTTCATATCTTGGATGCCACCTGAAACTTCAACCCTTGCCTCAGGGAGCTTGTGGCTTGATGTGTGCAGGATGCATGATTTTGCTTAGGATGGTGTTTTCGGGTTGTTGGTGGGCCTCATATGTAACAAGGGCTGAAAAAGAGCATTCGAGATAGCTGGCTTTCAGGGCTCAGGGTTTTCTGGGACAGGTTTAGAAGTTTTCCAGCATTGCTGCTGGGATCTGGGTCGTTTCTACACGCTTATCGAAGAATGTCGCATCGGGCTCGTGACTTTCTGAAACGGCACCCTTGCGAGCTTTTGGGCTTACAGGTTTTGGGGGCGACTTGGTTAGGAATGCGACTCTGTTACGAAGGAGGAATGGCTTTCTGTCCCTCACGTACAGATGTATATGACTATGAGCATCATTCGAAAATTCTTGATCCAAGGGGTATTTCTGCGGACATGTTCATTTGTGCTCTGCAACCATGTGCTTGAAAGTCCTGAACCAGCCCACGAGCGCAAAATAGAAGGCATCTAAGTCCCAAAAACATTCCGAGTCCAATGATCAACCTGTCAGGGAATCGCAAAACAACACAGATTAAAAAGAACAGCACCTGCAACCGAAACAACCATTCCAAAAACCGACAAAATTGAACACATACAAACAGCTTGAGAACCTGGTTCAAGTCATCTATAGATTACAGCCTCTGTTGGCCGAGAGCTTCAAAATACCAGAAAATGAGTACCCACCGACGGTGGTTCCCTGAAAAGCCCAAAAAAACTTCCAGAGACCCAAAACGCCTGCAACAGAACAGCAACGGAAAACCAAAAAACGCCAACAGAAAACCAAAAACCGCCAACAGAACGCAAAAGAACCCAACAGAAAATTTAAGAGCCAGCTGGAAACTTGAAAGAATGGGTTTAGCAGATGTTTCACCAAGCAGTGTGGCATGCAACATTGTGTCCTGATAGTAGGACCGAAAGAGCCCTTTAATTACTGTTTGCCAAGGCGTGCCGGCCGGGAGGTTCAACGGGACGGCGGCTCCCGCTGTGGCTAAGCACATAACTTGCGTCCATGTCCTGTATACTAGCTTATACATTCAGGATCCGTGCGGCCGCCGGAAGGCGCGACTCTTTGCAAAATTCAGTACATCGAGCTGTCTTGGCTTCGGCATTTCCGACTCCCGCCATTACTTGGGAGAAGCATTTTGGCCTTGCTCTTGAAACATCCGTTCGTGGTGTGAAGTATTTGCATCCTCCAGAAGCCTGGTCATGTCTTTGAATCCACCACTACGTGGGGAATGACATGCTGGCCGTGATCCTAAATCCAACCCTTGCATGTGCGGGTATGCATAAACTTTGCCATTATACTGGGAGGCATCGGAGGAATCATGTTGTTCATGTCACGGAAGCCGCCAGTCATCGGGGGAAACTGTTGGTCGCGCGTGCGAGCCCCGCCAACACAGCGGCGGCTATCCTTCTGCGATGTGTCTCCCCTGCTGAGTCTCCTTGTAGTCGTTGGTTTCTTGGTGGTCCTTTGGTGGTCTCCGGGAGTCTCCTGATGCTTTTTGGTTGCTCGTGTGGTGGTCGTGGCATTGTCCCGGTGGTGCTGGTCGTCGTGGTGGTCCTGTGACTTTCGTTGTCCCGTCGTGGCGCTGTATCCTTGTCTGGAAGTCTGGAACTGGTTCCATTGAAACCCAAATTCTGCCGTTGGTGCCGCTTGCACTATCTGGAGATCATACGTTGAAAAAACAAAAGCATGACGGTACATTTGGTGACGTGTTTGGCATGAACCCTTTCCGCACTGTGTGGCCAACTGCAGTGACTCACCCTTTGCGCACATTGACATGAATGCTGGCTGGACCTGTAACAGAGCTCCACCCTCTACTGTTGCTTTATGCAACTTGAAGACGAACCAAACTTCATACAATTCGATTTGATGCATGCTCTTCCACTTGGTTGTGGACGGACGTTTATTGCTTCCGCGAACTGTATGATGGTGGGGCCGCTCAAGATGTTCGCGTCACTGTCTGGACAGAAGTCTAAGCACACTGGGCTCCATGAGGCCTGCACCAGTTTTGGTTCGCTTTGTACGGCACCGTCTCCATGCACGTTACATGCAAAGTTATAGTGAATGAGAACCTGGGCCGGGACACAAGGATGCAAACTTTCCAAACTGCCACGGACTGTGCTGTGATGGTATGTGATGCACTGACCTGCGTCACTTTATGGAATGAATCCCTCAAATGGGGCCTGTGGTGGCTGCTGTGGCGTTCATAATTTCAGCAGGCCAGGCTATACTGTCAATTTGCAAGGTTTGAAAGGAACTATAAGTTTCCCAAGGCAGCAAAGCAAGGGTATTATGTGGCTACCTACGAAAATTCCTGCCGAGCTCTTGCATTCTACTGGCATTATCGTGCTTGGACTCTTGTTTCCGAAACTTTAGCGTGCGGCTTAGTAGCACTGGTCTCTTTATGTGTTCCTTGAAAGTGATTGCAGGTTGTCGCTAAATCTGAGGGTATTTGCGGCTCCGATGTTGGCAGGCTTTGTCCCAGAATCGAAAACACAACCTAGAAATAGCTAGTGGAAGTGCGAAGAGCCTGGCTGTAGACCAAGCTGCAAAGTCTCAGCCTGTGGTGTAGCTCCTTTTGCAAATTTTGTTGCCGATGTACCTATGTCTGTCAGTCTGTATGCGTTGGGACAAAAAACACAAATGCGAGCCTCAACTACGCATATACATTAGAGTAAAAAATTAAAAAAATGTAGCTTCATGTAGATTTCCGGCACTATACACGTATGTATGTGTGTACGTATGTATGTATGTGTGTGTGTATGTACGCATGTATTTACCTATGTATGCATGCATGCCTTATTTGTTTACATACAATCA